ATATATATATATATATACAAGTTTAAATATATGAATAAAAATATATTATACATATATAGATCAACAACATAGAGAATGAATTGTGTGATCCATATGTCAAAATGATCGATAAAAGTAAGAGAGAGAAATCATGGACGACTGCCAATCTGTATTTCTTTCCATTTCATTCAACAGTGTAGTGGGAGAGAGAATGAGAGAGAGAGTCACACTTTACTGCTTTATATTGCAATTGCTTCATTCTGCTCTTTGCCTTTGTTATTTATTGCATAAATTGATTTATTTTCTAACGTCTTACACCATCAGCAGGGACAATCGAACCCCATCTTCCCTTCTTGCTGTACGACTTTTCACGTAAAGCATTAGTTAATCATTTAAATTTCGATATCGATTCGATGTCGATTTCATTATCATTTCTGACCGAGCGTTGCACGCTCGCTAGGCATCGCGTCTCTGACGTCAGGAAATATCAGTATACGTAATAGATAACAAAGCTAAGAGCAGAATGATACGCAATTGCAGTGTAAAGTGTGACATTTTGTAATTGAAAAGTGTCTAGAGTCAAGGTTGATTTATATCTCTTTCATGTAAAACATTAATATTTTAGTCTAGAAATATACAGAAGTATACAGCATTGAGAAATTAATTATGTAACTTTCTCAAATATGGTTGATATAATAATGAGAGAAAGTGCTTGTGGAAGACCAATCTCTTTTTCATTCTCTCTCCTATTATATCGTTGAATAGAAAAAGATACAGATTGGCAGTCTTCTATGATTCCTCTCTCTTATCAATTATTTTGACATACGGATCATACAATCTATTCTCTATGTCGTTGATATAATATATATGTATAATATATTTTTATTCATACACAGAAAAAAATGATTCACGTATATTTTTATTCTTGAATGCTGTTTACTTTCATTTAAGTATAAAATATTCTCTTCAATTACAAATGTTCTCTGACATCAATAATAAATAGATTTATGTAAAGTATACTTTATTTTAAAAATTGTATTATTGTTTCTAAAATCATTATATGGTTCTAACATACTCAATCATTATTTACAAACTATTTATTCTTGGATTAAGAATTATAAATTTGAAAATTCGCTGACATGCGGCAAGAGTGTGTATAAGGGCCCCTCAGTAATATCAAGATGTCGGAAGTGAGTGAATGACGATTGACGGTGATTTTGTAAGTGTATTTTGTAACTTGCATTCGTGGAACATACCCCTAAATATGATTCAATCTTTAAAGATGAATAAAATATCCAGCTCGTCCTGTTTTTGTCAGTTATATTGCAAATGAGGATGCGCGAACAGACGACCGATTTTGTCACTGCGACGAAGAGGCGTCTATACACGCGGACAGATCTGTTATCTACAGTTAAATAAGTGAGTTGAGCAATGAATCCATCATGGCGGATCCGCATGTATATGCAGCCAGCGTTCTCTCCCATTGTGACGAGTTGACCTGTTTGCATTCTTATTCGCAATACGGCTAACGGAGGTTGGTAGAACAATTTCAACATTTCACTTGTTTTTGAGCTAACATTAATGCAGGATATAACCCAAGTTTGATTCAATTTTTCCTTGGGTTCTTGTATTTAGTGCACATTAAGAGGCAAGCTCTAAATATGGCACTTCATTTACAAAACTATCGACACTTACTCGTAACATTTCTGATATCTTGATATTAGTGAGAAGTATACTGGGGATTTGAAATAAATTGACAAAAGGTATCAGTGAAGAAAAAATAATGCTAATATAAGCGTATTTAATGTTGAACGAGTGCAACTTTAATCTTTTATTTAACAAAATTTGTTTTGAATTAAGAATAAAATTTATTTTATTTTATGAATAATTTATTGTTAATCGAAAATTGTTTATTCTTGACGCTACTAAGCATAAAATATTTTTGGATTAAAACATTTATACATTCTTTAAGAATTCATTTTTCGTGTGCATTTAAACATATACATACATATATAAACACACTGCTATATGCATATACATATGTATATATTAAATATATGTATATTTTATTTCGTATTAGTATCACTGTAAATAAATCTAAGAATTCAGAATACAAGGATTTTGATTCAACATCAATTAATAATAAAAAAGGAGCCTTATTATTAATACTATAAAAAAGGATATGTTAAGTCTTGAATGTTTTTAATACGAAGAAGATCCGAGATGTATGTACAAATTATATTAAAGAATTGTGGATTCGAATGACGATTATCATAGAAATACTCGTACAAAATAATATTATTAAAGATAATAAATATAAACATTGTTAAATAAGATATCAACATTCCGGGAATGAAGCAACAAAAATTGCATTTGTACATTAATACTTGTAAACATATATAACTTGATAAGTATGTTATACTCAAAGCTAGAATTCAAAACTAAATAATTATTTCATCAGATTTTGTGTGGTCTGTTAAAATCGCTCTAAAACCGTTTTCAAATTATATATGCTATAACTATAGTCTTTGTTGTTTAACTCCCGAGATGTCTCCATATTTTATTACTTTTGTCAGGGATGGAAAGTAATAAGTAACGATGTTATTTTTATAGTTACTAACTATAGTTTTATAGTTACTTATAATAACGGTTTGGTAAAAAATTATAACATCATTACCAAATTATTATTATAAAAAAAAAACAGTAAAAATAATAGTTTCTATGTTTTTCATTAATAAATATCATAAAACGAGATTTATTTTTGATAACAATTTGTCTCATATTCTCGATTTGGGTTTTTCCAAGATACATATAAATCGATACATTACTCAATTCCGTTTAAATTATCCTTTAATATGACATATTTAATAATTGATTATATTATATAATTTGTTTAACATTTCGAAACTTTTATATTAACTAAGAAACTAAAAATTAAAAAATTAAAAAATTTTTCTTTAGGCTCTAACATTCTTCTTTTCTGCATATATAGTGACCAATATCTATGATATAGATATGATAGATATCATGGATATCTACAGATATCTATGAAAATTACACAAAATTTAATTGTACATATATACATTATTAATTTTTCAGTGTCGCTATAACGATGACATACTTTGGTATGACATACTTTAATGACATACTTTAGTACGTACTCAATCCGATTCAATTGTAACTTTCATGAAAATGAATGTGTTGTAAAGAATACTTTTTTAATCGAAACACTGGATATTAAGAAACATAACATACTAACTAAGCACATGTATCTTTGGAAGCATTGGAAACGAAAAACCAAATATACCATTATATGCAATTCAAAAAAGTAGACTTTTAAAACGCTCAAAATTTAACAATTTTTGGATCACCAAAAATTGGTGAAAAATCATCACTGATAAAAAAAAAAATGAAAAAGCTTTTAAAGCTTGAAACTCTTGAGCCTCTACAATTGCGTAAACGTAGTTTGTAAGTGGTCATAGTTGTAACAATTTACCAATCACAGTCGGATATTCTCTTCATATTCAAGTGCAATTGATTAATTTTTACAACTACAACTACGTTTATAATTGTAGAGCGGGATTAATATTATTTCTGCATTCAACAGTCTGAAGCTCAATACAAAATTTTTTTTTAAATTTAATACTTTTACAAAAGTACAGTGTTTTATCTATAAAATGTCCTTTAAAAATTTCCATAGAAAAAAATTTTTCTTAGCACCGAATTACGCACCTTTGAAGCTAAACATGCATTTCTTATATTCAACGTTGAAATTCGGCAACAAATCGTTGCAAAAATTTTGTTATCTTCTCAATTCTGCAAAATTAAATTTATAATCAATCAAAAGCATATTAAACTACAAATTTCGAGAATTCCAAATCCTTTTTGCGATTTTAAAAATTTTATTATAAGAAATGCATGCTTAAAATCTAGTAATTGATCGATCAAGAAAAATCGTAAGAAAATTAAAAAAAAATATTTTGCAGATAAAATTTTGTACTTTTTGTAAAAGTATTAAATTTTTTAGAAAAATTTTCTATGGAATTGAAAACTATTAAATGTACACAATTTTAAAGAATCTAATAATGTGCTATTTAAGGATAACTAAACAGTAAAAATAAAGATTTTTGGAAAAATAGTCAAAAGCATATTAAAGTATAAGTTTCAATCTCGAAAATGCTTTTCTACTTTATAAGAAATAAAGGCTAAATAGCCAAACTTGGATCTTTGATATTGAAGCAATTCTATGTGAATTTATATACCACAATCCTTCAAACTGCGCATGGAATTTATTTTCAGATTTGAAACGTAATCCAAACAAGTCTAGAGCAGTAATATCATAAATTAAAATTGACTAGCAATTTATTAATAATGATGCTCGTAAGTATATCTTTATAATAATTCTTAAGCAACTTAAAACTATAAATAGTTTTATTGTAAGAAATATTACCTTGACCGGGAATCGAACCTAAAAGTCATGCATTGCGTGCGTAACATCCTTTATTTCTTGTTATGCGTTCATATCGTGGTTTAAAGTAATATTTTAATATTCTTCTTATTTTTTTGTCTATGATGATTTTTTACTAAGTTTCGATTTAAGAATTATGCAATTTTGAGCGTTTTGAGTATGTTCTTTAATTTTTGTTAAGTATGTGTGTACCAACATCGAAAGCAACATCGAAGAATTAATAATTATCGATATATGTTACCTACTCAACATTGCATCGAATAATTGTTTACATGCAATTTAATGTAAATTAAATGTATCAATTCAATCAATGTCAATAATAATTTATAATAGTAGGGAACTAATAAATGTTACGAGCCATGTACACATTTATATATACATTATTAATAGTTTATTTACAAATCTTCTTTTATTTTTTATGTATTATCGTATTCCTAAATTATCCAGCAAATGATATCATAATATTGTTAGTTCATTACCACAGTAGCGCAATCTCTCTTGGCAATTTTGATATTAATGTTGGCCAAAATGGAATGCGCATGCGTGAATAAGTAAGTTACTAGCGTTGCCATCTAAATTTCTTTCTCTTTCCATCCTTTTCTCACTTTATAAAAATTCCTCGCAAAATTCTCTAGATTTATTCGCATCGCAATCCAATGTTTCGTTGAAGTGAATTCGTTGAAGTGAGTAAGTACCATTGTAGGAATATATTGCAGCATATTAGAGCATGCAACGCGAGTAAACATAATATTGAAATGAAATAATTTAAACTTTATGAAAATTAATAACAATAAATTGTAAATATTTGACAAAAATATAGAAAAATTAGGAAAAATGTTAAATTAACTTAAAAATGTATATTTGTATTAAAGAAATATTATGTAATAATATACCCTAAATATTATCAGAAGCTGTTATAAAAGAAATTTATATACACATACGAATATGTGTTCAAAAAATTAGTTAAAATACAATAAATAAAAAGAAATCTTTTTTGCTCCATTTTCTATGTTATTTTTGTTCACATTTTTACTTTTTCACAAAAATTAGACAAATCTCTCCAGGTTTTTCACACAACATTTCATCAAATGGACAATACACGTAATACGTCCCTCTAAATTTCTACTCTGAACCAAATATGCTTGAAAGACAAATTTAAGTGGAACATTAAACGCTCATTTAAATAGAGAGAGAAAGAGATAGATAGATAGATAGATAGATAGATAGATAGATAGATAGATAGATAGATAGATAGAGAGAGAGAGGGGGGGGGGAGAGAGAGAGAGAGAGAGAGAGAGAGAGAGAGAGAGGAAAGGAGGAAAAAAAGGAGAAAAAGAGCAACTTATTTATTTTACGCATGCGCATTCCATTTTGACTAACATAAAAAAATCAGGAGAGTTGCGCTACTGTATATACTGCGTCATTACATAATGAGAGATAATTAATATGATAAAATCTGTTGATCGTAGAATGAAGACAAGAGGAAATAAATATACTGAGGCATTTAATCTTGAGATTTCATTTAAAGATTACGTAGAAGACTTTCAAGTTTACCACAACAATGTCGAGTTGCTTCATTTTAATGCTCCTTGTGTATTTGTATTGTATTTTAATCAGCCTCGTGACAACATCGAAACCATTGTCAATTTTATTAATAGATCCTTCCATCATGTCTGGACGATAAATTTGATGAAAGGATTGCTTCGCAAAGACCATCATGTACACGTAGTAAGCACACATGAGACTAAGATCAAAGATAAACTTGCGCAGAACTTGATGTACGATATAAATAAATGTTATGGAACTTGAAACGTTTTGAATATAAATTGATTATTTTAAATTTGTGAAACAAATGCGAAAGAATATAATCTTTCTGTTTTAAAATATTATATTATATTGAACGTATCTTAAATCATTAACTGAGTCCCCAATATATATTCATATTTCTATATATTTTTTTCATCAACAGTAAAGAATACTTATTATTTTCAGGTATTCGATGGTTTGATGAAAGTAATGAAGAATCTGAAGCGGATTATAATCCGGGAATGGGAACAATATA